ATGAAAGAGCTGTCCTAAGCTTCCAAGTTTTCAATACTGTTCTATCTTAGATCGGATCATGATTTCAAAACCTCCACAACCTTATAAATACAGACAACCCTGTTTTTTCTCATCGCTGTTCTTTAAGGACAGAATTAGTCAGCGAGATCGAATACTACTTACTACCAGTACTACCAACACATATATTTCATACATTTTTTGAAACCATGAATCGATCAATGTTAGTAGACCACCATTAGAAACCTGAAAGCACTGAAAGATGGCCGTTTCGTCCTGGTATGGGACTCCTCAGCAGTCGGCATCCACGACTCCTGCACCCCGCAGGATTCGAACCCAGGACGAAACGACCGTCTTTCAGTATTTCCAGGTTTCTAATGATGGTCTAACATTGATTGATTCATGGTTTCAAAAAATGTGTAACTTAACAATCTTCACAACCCCGCAATACATATATTTTAGTCAAAAACAAACAAGATGAGATTAGATTTTGTCTACATACTTCAAAACTGATACCTGGGACAATAATTTTAGCAAAACAAAAAATAATATAAATTCCAGTCACATCAGTCAATGTGTGTTAACAACACTATTTCTCTTTCTCTCTGTATGTGTCTCCTTCTCGGTGTATTAGTCACAACATGAAGAAGAGAGTTGATGACTCATTACCGTGTATCATGCATGACTCAATCTCGTTTGTTTTTTTCAAAAAAAAGTGATTAAAGCTGACACTTTTTATTTCGTTTACAAACTATGTCATATGTATGTGGTGATGTATTTGTGTGTGTGTGTGTCTGTGTGTGCATACGTACATGTTCACCAAATTTCTACTTATCATCCTCATTCTCTGTTAAAAGTACATATGTATTTGAATGCAAGTACATAAAAGTACGTACGTACGTACGCACGCATACACACACACACCACAGGTGTTACATACACACACACAAATCAAAATAACACAGAGGAGATATAACTTTTTTTTTACTGTCATATAGTTTTCAAATAATCTGACTGGTTAATGTAACAGAAAATACAGTGCATCCTTTTTAGTGTAGAAAATGTGGAGTGTATATATATATATATACACGCATGGATATAAAAATGCATTTGCATCCATACACATTCGTATGATTACGTACGGTACGGTACAGTGCAGTACAGTATGTATGTGGTACACACAAAGAAAGGCAGTATTCCTTTTTTTTTTATTTCCCAATGTAAATAAAATTAGGACAGAAAAGAAGTGTATGAATGATGATAATAGTCTGATATTCATTCATTCACTAATTAATTAATTAACTAGTTATCGTGTGTGTGTGTGTGTGCGCGAGCGCGCGCAATTAAAATTAGGCGCGCTAATTCGATTATATGAAAATGATACCATTAATTTAATGTAAACTTTGCCTTTAATTACATGTGCGTGATCTTTTGAATCACAAAAAAAATTTACATATTTGGTGATCGATTTGTTTGTTTAACATCATCAAATTGTTTCAACAATTTAACAACTTCATTTTGTGTGTATACTAATCGCTGCAAAAAAATCTTCACAACTTAACGATTCTTCACAGCGTACAACCAATAAGTACAACGTGAGACATCTAGATGGTTGGAAATCTGCTGAGATAAGAATAAACATTGTTAAGACTTTTTTGAAAGCATGAATCGATCAATGTTAGTAGACCACCATTAGAAACCTGAAATCACTACTGGATGGTGGTCTAACATTGATCGATTCATGCTTTCAAAAAATGTGTAACTTAACAATCTTCACAACCCCGTAATACAAATTACCTGTGCTCACTAGTCACCACTAGCTTCTTCGTGAGGAATGTTCTCCGAGTTCTAGTGGGAAAACGTGACCAGTGAAGTTCAGACCTGTTCGGGTGCAGACAGTGACCACTACCGAAGACTGTGTATGAGGTTGCGCAACTCCGTGAATTTGATCAAGTTAGACATTAACACAGTTAGATATCGGCTCAGTGGTCTAACGGTTAGGGCGTTCGCGTACAATACCGAAGGTTCTGGGTTCGGATCCTGTGGGGTGCAGGAGTCGTGGATGCGCACTGCTGAAGAGTCCCATAACAGGACGAAACGGCCGTCTTTCAGTGCTTCCAGGTTTCTAATGGTGGTCTACTAACATTGATCGATTCATGCTTTCAAAAATGTGTAACTTAACAATCTTCACAACCCCGTAATGCAAATTGATAAGACTGTCAACTCATGAAATGCTCAGCTTCTAAAACTACCAATCACTCAATGTTTTATCAAGGAAACTTATTTAAACTATTCCATGTTCAGAATTACTCCAGATTATGGATAGAACTTCTTACAGATATTTGTTATAATGTAGAACTTTGTCAATTCAAATCTCATAGTAGTAGATAATAGTAGAAGTATTAGCAGTCAGTCGGAGAAGATTAGGATTCGACAATATTATTCAACAAGTGTAATTCAGTGAAATAAACTTTAAAAAGTGGAAGATAAAAGTGATGAGGAATTCAGAAGGTTAAAATTTGAGCGAACGTAAAGAGTGGATGCACCTAAGCCATTGTAAACAGTTTACAGACATGTCATTCAAAGTCTCTAACCATCGATAACTATTTGTCTTGCGGAGGCGAACAAGGTAGTCTACACCTATCAACATGACTCAATCCATTTGCATGTGATTTCGGCTTGGCCAACCCGAAGCTTTCTTCTTTCCAGGCTTACTCATACACCACAAAACATTGATCGTCAAGGTAGTAGTCAATGGTTGAGCAATATAAGTAAAAACATGTCCCTAACCACCTCAATTGATGAAATTTCACTACTTCATCAATTGATCTGTCATCCTTACCATCTAGTACCCATTTCCTAACATTAGCATTGTTTACTCAGTGATCGTGGGATAGACAAGCAATACTTTGAAGACATCTATCATCTAGATTTTTCTACTGTTGTTGTTGGTATTTTAACAACAAGGTCAGTTTTATTTAGTGTCGATATATAAAATGTACACCATGTACAGAGAACTTTGAAATCACAATTATGAGACAAGTTGGTAGACAAGAAAGAAAAACATGGAATATAATTAGCAGAATCAGCATTTCATCTGATTTGAGATTTGAATCTTAAAATGAATGTTCAAATCTCCAATATGATGATGAATACACTGGATCAATCTATCACTAACAATATAACACGCAACAACAAATACAAGAGAAGACGACCAGTGTAGCAGCAGCCTCTGCAGCAGTAGGTCTCAACATACATAAAGGAAAAAGCAAAATTCTCCGATACAACATAACATGCACCAACCAAATCACTCTTCATGGAGATGTATTGGAGGACGTTAACACCTTTACATATCTTGGCAGCATCATCGACAATCAAGGTGGACCCAATGCAGATGTGACAGTGCGGATTGGCAAGGCAAGGGCTGCATTTCTACAACTGAAAAAATATCTGGAACTCCAAACAACTTTCAACCAACACTAAAATCAGCATTTTCAATACAAATGTCAAGACAGTTCTACTGTATGGAGAGGAAACTTGCAGAACTACCAAAGCCATCATCCATAAGATACAAGTGTTTATTAACAGTTGTCTATGCAAAATACTTCGTATTCGTTGGCCAAACACCATCAGCATTAACGTACTGTGGGATAGAACAAACCATATTTCAGCGGGAGGAAATCAGGAAGACGCGGTAGAAGTGGACAGGAAACACACTACGAAAAGCACCTAACTGCGTCACAAGACAAGCCATCACATGGAACCCTCAAAAGGAAAAGAGGAAGACCAAGGAACACATTACGCCGAGAAATAGGGAAGGATATGAGAAGAATGAACAAACATTGGACAGAACTGGAGAGGGAAGCTCAGGACAGAGTTGGTTGGAGAGAAATGGTGGGCGGCCTATGCTCCATTGGGGGTAACAGGCGAAAGTAAGTAATATATATATATATATATATATATATATATATATATATCATTTAATCCGATGTGTATGCGCGTTAAACAATGATAAACCAAGCTTAGAATAATTGTATTGACATGAAATAAGGGAAATGCTTTTTTTTTAAAAAAAAAGGATTTTGTTGACAAACAAAATAGAAAATAACAAAACAAGATTCAAATTTCAGAGGCCTTTAAGCTTGCATGTTTGTTGACAAATGATGATGATGGAGAGAGAGAGAGATTGCATAAACAAAAAATTGGGAATAATAATGACAGATTAAGTTAAGCAAGAACGATAATAACAAAACAAAGAATAAAGAATTTCATTGAAATGGATACACTGGATCACATTGTTGTAAGACTACCACTATTTATAGAAACCTAGAAACACTGGGCGGACATTTCGTCCTAAAACGAGTTGCCTATATCTACGAGTAACCACAATGCGCAGGAATCGAACACAGGAGCTTCGGTTTGGAATGTGAACGCCTAACCTCTAAGACAGACAAATACAACGTAGAACTTCGCACATAAGTACATCAGTTCCGGTTGCCATACCACGTTAGCACAGAAACGTAACTGTCAGTTCAAATCCAACAGTGATAGCAATAATAGAAGTATTAGCAGTAATCGAGAAGATTAAGGAGAGAACATATGGTTCAAAAAGTATAATTCAGTAAGATAAATTTAGAAAGTGAAAGATAGATATTACGAGGAATTCAAAAGGTTAAAATTAAGAAAGCACACAAAGAGTGGATGCACCTGCACCATTGCAAACGATTCTGAGCCATGTCATTCAAAGTCTCTAACCATTGGTGACTTTCGTCTCGCGGAACCCAACCAGATAGCCTACCACTAAGTCGACATCCGACGGTGTAAGAATGTCTAACCTTCAGATAGAGTTAACTGCTTCACACACTCGAACAGCGCTTGAACTCCACTCTCTCTGATCACATCTCCACACTAAAGAACACAACCGAGAATCAAGCTACGCACAAAACTAGTCATCATCATCATCAATGTAACAAAAACGAAAATAGATAACTTCTAATTCTTACCCAATGATTAGTGATTTGTTGATGAAGTACTGAGTGCAGTTTATCTTTATCTCTTTCCAATTCTTGTATACGTTGATCTTTCACATTGATCAGAGCAGTTAAATGTGCAATGATTTCTTGTAATTGTGCTATAGTTTCATTTGGTGTTGTTGCTGTTATTTTAAGATTATTAGATGCATTGGTTAAAAGTCCATTAATATTAGTAGTATTATTATTACTGCTACTAGTACTACTTATACCAGTAATAGTAGTAGTTGCAGTAGTAGTTGGTGGATTATTTGTTTTACCATCCGCTGTTATTGATGATGATGACGATGACTGTTGTTGTTGATGATGTGTTGGCAGATTGTGTGCAATTAAATGTTTATCATGTGATTTTGTATTGGTTGCAGTTTTATTGAACAATTTATTACTGGAATTTTCATCAGGAGAATGAGGCACTGTAGCATTATTACCGCTACTACCACTACTAATAGCAGTCCCATAAATTGGGTTACTACCACCCTATACACATAGAGAGAGAAGAAAAAAAATATCATCATCATCATCAATGAAATCAGTAGATATGAGAAATACAACAATTTCAATCAATTAACTAACAACCAGTCAACTTGATAACCTACCTGCCTAGCTACCTACCTACCCGCGTTAAGATCAACACAATAGACAGATACAAACGCAGAACTTCGTACATAAGTACATTAGTTCAGGTTGCCATACCATATCAGCACAGAGACGTAAATGTCGATTCAAATCCAAGAGTGATGTCGATAGAAGAATTATTAGCAGTAATGGAGAAGGTTAGGGAGCAAAAATATGATTCGAAAAGTATAATTCAGTGAGATAAATTTGTGAAGAGAAAGATAGAGATGATGAGGAATTCAGAAGGTTGTTCAAGGTCTCTAACCATTGGTGACTTTCATCCCGCAGACCCCAACCAGATAGCCTACATCTGTGGTGTGAGCTACTTATAAGTAGTATATGACGTGAGTGGAAAACGTAATGTCTGGCGCAGCAGAAGATGGGGGAAGATCAAGAAAGGAAGAGTTTAAAAACACAATGGAATTTGTATGAAACGCATGAATAGTGACAATGGATTGATGTTTTGCAACAGCAACAGTCCAGTTCGATAGCATGGACTGATATTTTGCAAATGAACGATTTACGATATGGTTTTCCAATTTTACTGAGTAACTCTGTAATTTTCGCTAAATACAATCCGGTTGCCCCACCTGTATTCTCGTTCACTACACATCTACCAACATGACTCAGTCCACTTGTCAGTGACTTCATAAATTTCTGTCATGTTTTGGTCTGGCCGCCCCTAACTTTATTCCAACCTACTCCTACACCACAAAACATAGTTTGTCGCAGCAGTCGGTGGTTAGGCATACGTCACACATGTCCCACAACCTAAGACCAACAAGAGTATATCACATTGTTGAGTATTATAGATAATTAGAAATAATAAAACAAGAAACTGTGCTTCACGTTAGTTAGTTTAACACTTAGTCGATTACTCATTAGCAAAGAATGAGTACAATGAGTAAAAACAGTAATCCTCCCAGAATCCTGTGTCAGATCAAGTCGCAACTAACTGCTAGTGTGAGACAATGTTCGTTACATAAGCCAACATATATATATATATATATATATATATATATATATATATATATATCTGTGATCAATAAGTGCTATCTATGTGTGTTGTACACGTAAAGCTAAGTTGTTGCCCACTACAACAGAGACATTTTCATAGCCTGATTACAGCTCATAAGCAAATCATTTCAACGAAATTTTCCAAAGTTGAACAGAAATTATTTCCGACAGAAATTCACTAACATATTGCGAAATGATATACTCAAGAAGAAACTCTACAATAGCACCTCATCTCTTAAGGGACAAAAAAGGAGGTGATACTCTAGACAGACTTATCAATGAAATGTCACAGTCCTGTCCTTATTGGATAAATGCACAAATCAATCCGCTGTAATGAGCACTTCCAAACTAGACTACTTGATAGTTAGTTGCCCATTAAAAAGTCTAGGTCAGTACAATCTTAATAAAAGTCTGTATTCTTCACAAATGACAATAAGATGCAATAAACATTGACTTAGACATCAGGGAAATTCTATTCTTGTCGCCGACAAATCCTCCAACTATACTACTTTATCAAGTCAAATAAATATGACTTTATTCAAAACAAATGACTCAAAAATACTAGAATGCACTGAAAAAAAGCCCATTTTTGGGTGTATTTCGTTTAGGATGATGTCCAGAGGTAGACAGTAGACATCAGTCATCTGGATTGAATTAAATACCCAAATATATACATATATATGTACAACTAACAAATAAAAGTCACTTACATGATGTACATTCCCCATAACTCTTTGAAAAGCTTCTGTAGTCTGTTGTGGTCGACGATGTGATCGTAATTCTAAGATTTTCAATTTTTCTGAATTACTATGAGTATTGTTGGAATTAGTTCGATGTAATAATTTTTTAATTAAACCATGTTTTTGTTGACCACTACTACTATTAATGGTTGGCTTGATATCGCTAATATGATCCTCATCATGAAATGTTGTTGATTCTTTTAAACTAGATTGATTTGTTAAATTTGTAGGATAATGACGAAGATCAGCCGAACGACAACCACCGTCGTATGACTGGTATGACATATGAGTTTTTACAAGATTATTTCCACCTGAAGTTAGACATGTGGTCTGTGTACGATCAACAGCCAATGAGGCTAATTGTTTGTTTGTCAATGTTTCTGGCTTCTGATTGGCTGCTTTGTCCATTGGTTAACTTCAATGAACCAATTAGATGTAAGCTAATCTGCCTTACTCCTTCGTTACTGCACTCAATTTTGTGTTCGAGCGAATTTTTTTTTCTTCAGTTGAATTCGATTCAAATGAAAGAATGAGACACTGTCGTCTTCAATTTATAGGTGAATAGTCGTAGCCAGTCATCTGAAAGAACATACAAATAAGATTTAACGCATGACTACTCAAATAGATTTTCCTCAAGCGTTGATTTAACTATAAGAAGCATACTTGGATTTTACAGACTATCCTATCTATCTGCGACAAATAAGTATTAAGGAAAATTTGATTTTTGCAGAGTTTTGCATAGCTAATCCAGACCGAAATGGTGATTTTCAGTACAATGGGCAAAATTCACAAAAAAAGCAGTAGTCTTCTGTATCCAATTTTGTAAGTTAACTTTGTTTAGTGATCAAACCTTTTGGGAATTAGTAAGAGAAGGTTTATTCTACTTTCAAATATTAAAAATGTCATTTCATAATGTAATTTCTATTTTAAAAATTATTTAGTATGACTCTAACAAGTTAGTCTGTATTTATCAACATGGGTTGGATCCAATTGTCAATGACTTGCATGGATAGATGACATATTCTGGTTTAGTCCATACCGCTTCAGGATAGGCAGTTGTTAGACATAATTATTACCTAACTAGCATATGCCATAAACACGTCAGTCGATGAAGATCTCCTACTTCTTCAATCAATTTCCTATCTAACTAGTAAAATGGAGTCAATGGAGTCTTCTAAGACAAGTGAAGTAGTAAGCGCACCGAATTAGGTTAATTTAGGCAATGAATCAAACCAATCACTCACGTAAAAGATTTTTTATTTTATCATCTCCGTATTCTAAATTGAACCTCCTGGTAGGAAAACGTAGAAAAAGAAGGCACTGTCTCTTAAATCTCGTCCCAGTAAGGGACTTTTAAACAAGGCTCATCCACGACTCCACCACAAAGAATCGAATGGAGCACTCTCGGTCTTGGCATGAACGCCCAACCTCTAGACCAATGATGTACAAGTCTACAGTCAATTCATAACAATACGCAACATTTATCCACTCTCAAACCTGACGTGGCTAAACTTCACTGATTGCAACTTCTCACTAAAACTCCGGGAATTATATCTTTACACTAGTCACTAGCGGTTCCTACTTATAAACTCAAGGATGTTCACTGCTAAGGAGTCTTATACGAAGACAAGACGTTTGTCCAATCATCCCAGTTTCTAAATAGTTGTCCAATTAAAATCAATTCATTCATCGAACACTATGAAAATCCTATAATTTCCACATATCCTCCTATACTGACAAATATCATGTGCGCACTAATGACTAGCGTCGATAGGCAACTCTCAAAGTTCTAGTGTGACGTTGTGACTAGTAGAGTTCAACCACATCGGGCGCGAAACATTTATCCAATGCTGTCAGTGAGGAAGCATTGCACAACATCATCTTACAAAGCATCTTAGAAAATTGATAATTCAGTATTAAATGGAAATCTTCAAAGATGATTGATAATCTTATTAGCTAACCCAACTATCAATGAAACAAGTCACAATATTGATGGTTTGAACAATTTGATTGTTTGGGCAAAAAGCTGATCGAAGTTGAATTGATTCACTTCATTTTATATTACCCCTATACATAATGTTGAACTAGATTCAACAAACTCTGGTTGTTGAATTGATATTTAAAACCATTTATGTGTATGTTTAACGACTTTGATCTGGTTCGACCTCTGTACAAGATACATATATATATATATATATATATATATATATATATATATATATATTATGTAACTACATTTTTGTTTATCGATCCAAATCGTAAACCGGATCAATGTGAAGACCACACAGTTAGAAACTTAGAAGCACCGGACAGCCTTATCATCATCCTAGTATAGGACATATCAACAGTGAGTATCCATGAACGCGCAAGTGCGAAATCGAATCCAACGACTTTGGATCTTAAGCGCGAACACCCTAATCTATTGTATTGTATTGCACTTCTTATAAATTTTATTGTATTAAGTCAAATATATATTAGGTTACCATCATAAATTGTATTCTAATTGTTGCTTATTTAAACCCTAACCATAATAGCACTTGACCAACAACAGAAACATATAAACAGCATGAAAACACACATAAAGACAGAATATATATATATATATATATATATATATATATATATATATATAATTACGTTATCAATTGATACGAATCGAAGTGATAATGGTTATCTTATAAATGTAGAATAATAATAATAATAGCTTAAGGCATACTTAATCATAGCTAGTTCAATGTATCACATATCAAATACAATAAATTAGATTAACGCTTTAACCGAAAAACGGAAAAAACAAAACAGAACAACTGAACACAAGAATGAATAAAATATCACATCAGATCAGGATAGCGAAAGAGAGCAGAGAGCAGGGAGAGAGTAGAGAGTAGAGAGAGACAGAGTATCAATCATCCATTGATTGCTTACCAACTCTAATCCACCATCCTTTACAGGTTCTTCAAGAACACAACCTTTCATGGTGTGGGGGCAGCTGGGAAGTGACAATCGCCCTCATATACCCGTAACAGTACACACGAGACCGAATTGGTCAAAATCAAATCCTTCTTAC